AATCAAACCCATTAAAAGTTCCTTGGCAGGACTGAATTGCCAAAGAACCTTCTGAAGCTTTCAATGCACCCACTATGTCTGTACCCTGGCACGAGGATATGCTTGAGGCAGTCGTCCAAGACAGTCTTACAGAGTGGCCTTGCTACGTGAGAATATTATTAATATTATAGTACTGTACTTTGAATTCAAGTCTGTATGTGTTACCTTTAGCACTTGAACTCATTAGGGTGAAAGATGGGTGTGGTTGTAAAGTGGCTCATTTATGGTTATGCAGTGACTGTAACTGGTCACATTAATAAATACCAAGTACTTGTGAGAGACTGTGGCCATAAGAGACAAGAGCCCTAGAAAATGTCTCTATGTTGCATTATGAAGAAGAACTCTGAAAACAACTTGACGACCTATACCATGACTCCTTTTCCCTCATTCACCCATCACTAGGTACCTACAGATTTGGCGATATGAACATGGTCCAGCTGATAACGTGGAAAATGCTTCAGGGCCAAGTACCAAATCTACACAGTAAAATAACAACGTACTGGAGTGAACGATATGGAAGAAAATGCAGAATAGAACCAGTGAAGAGCAGGGGTGCCATAGGCACATTCAGAGAACACTGTATAAACATCAGAGGTCCAGTGAAGAGCAGGGGTGCCATAGGCACAATCAGAGAACACTGTATAAACATCAGAGGTCCATGGTTGTTTAACACCCTCCCAGTGAGCATAAGAAATACAGTATTGCTGGAACAAAAGTGGACATCTTCACGAGGAAACTAGATTGTTTCCTCCAAGGAGTGCCGTACCAACCGGGCTGTGGTGGGTATGTGGGCCTGCGGGCCGCTCCAAGCAACAGCCTAGTGGACCAAACTCTCAAAAGTCAAGCTTGGCCTCGGGCCGGGCTTGGGGAGTAGAAGAACTCCCAGAACCCCATCAACCAGGTATCAACCAAGTATAATAGGTAACTATTGACAAGCTCTCACATGTTAAACCTGGCCTCAGTCCGGGCTTACTCCCAGAAACGCATCAAGCAGGTATGTATTATCATTTGTTGGGGCAGGACCCTGATTTGTTAGTAGTAAGCTATATGTGTCAATCTTTTGTCTATTTGAAAAGCCTACCAAAGTCATCCTGTAGGAATTTTAGCCTTGTGAACTAGTTTGTCACCCTATTTATATATATCTACAAATTTGCTAATATTGCTCTTCAGTCCTTATTTACTTATTTATTTATTTATTTATTTATATACAAGAAGGTACATTGGGTTTGTGAGAATACATAGCATAGTACAGTATTTACAATCTTGTAAAGCCACTAGTACGCACAGCATTTTGGGCAGGTCCTTAATCTAACAGATAATTTTAAGTAGGTAAATTCTATCAGAATTAATAAAATGATAACAAATACATTGCAAGAAAAAAATGAGATGAGAGAGATCAGTAAGTATATTAAAGCACATTGGTATATTAAAGCTCTGATTGATTACATTGACAGCTTGATTGGTAATTTAAACAAGATTAATAGACACCATACAGCAGATTGACAGCACATATAAGAAGACAGCAATGATCACAATGATAAAGATGTTCAGATTGGGTACATAAAGATTGGGAGATTGGGTAGCAATAGATACAGTGCAATTTTAAAGCCATAGGTAAAAAACTATGAAGATGAAATCAGGTACTTTTTAGTATTGTTTTTGAATGACACAAAAGTTGGACAGTTGTTCAATTCAATAGGGAGTGAGTTCCATAGACTGGGTCCCTTTATTTGCATAGTGTGTTTACACAGATTAAGTTTGACTCTGGGGATATTAAAGAGATATTTATTTCTGGTGTGGTGATAATGGGTCCTATTACATCTGTCCAGGGAGTTTCAGACAAGGATTTGCATTTAAGAACAGAGTTTTGTAAATGTAGTTGACACAAGAGAATTTGTGGAGTGAGATTATGTTTAGCATGTTTAGGGAGTTAAACAAGGGAGCTGAGTGTTGTCTGAAAGCAGAATTTGTTATTATTCTGATAGCAGATTTTTGCTGGGTGATGATGGACTTGAGGTGGTTTGCAGTGGTTGAACCCCATGCACAGATACCATAATTAAGATAGGGATAGATTAGTGCATAATATAGAGAGATGAGAGCAGAGTTAGGAATATGAAAGTTTAGCTTTTCTTATGATACTGGTAAGCACTGATGAGTACCTTTTAACTACTTCCTTTGAAACTAGGCCAATCCTAAATTTCTTTTCATATTCATGTTTTTGGTTGACTGATTTAATTATGCCACTTGTGAGCCACGGGTTATTTTTTCTTTTATTAGTTACTTGTTTGGTAAGGGGGGGACAGTGAGTGTTGTAGAGGCTTAGAGTTTTGGAGAGAAAGAGGTTAGTTAATGAGTTTATATCCTGTGTATTATTAAATTCAGATTCCCAGTTAATATTGAGAAGTGCATTAGAAAGATTGCCTAAAGCTGATTCACTGTGTAGCCTGAATGAGAGTTTCTTGCTTTCTGGTGGTGATGTGTCCATGTTTGCTATGAGGAAGGTAGGATAGTGGTTAGTTGTTCTGTCATAGATTACCCCAGATGTAAGGGGAGCTGTTATATTAGTCCATAAGTGATCCAGAGTAGTGGCAGATGTTTGAGTGACTCGGGTGGGCTTGGTGATTGTGGGGATTAGCATACAGGAGTGCATGCTGTTACGGAAATAGTCAACTTGAGGGTTGTTTTGAAGACCCAGGTCAATATTGAAATCACCTCCCAGAATGATGTGATTTTTGTTGAGATTGTTATTTATGATAAGATTCCTTACATTGTCAGAGAATGAAGCTATGTTGGTATTAGGAAATCTATAGATGGCACCGATAGTCAGGGAGGATTTAAGGGATTTACTGGAGAACTTGGCAAAGGTATATTCACAATAGTCGTCTCTATCACTAATGACACTACTGCAGATGAAAGTATCTTTGTATTATATTGCTGTGCCACCTACTTTTTTATTAGGCCTGCAGTTATGAATGGCTTTATATCTAGCTAAATTGTAGAGTTGGGTATAGTCATTGCTTAGCCAAGTTTCTGTTAAAATGATGAATGATAATTTAGTACCTAGTGCTGTGAGTAGTGCATTTATATCATCAAAATGTTTACCAAGTGACCTAACATTTTGGTTGTAAACTGATAAGCAGGTTCTATTTAGGAGTTTGTTTTTTGCAAGATTTGCTGTGTAATACCTGCAATAATGATGATCAATGTGCTGATTTGTGTGGGTATGGGACAGAAGATTTCGATCAGGATCAATATCAGTAAGCATATAGATACAATAATGTCACGATACAATAAGATAAGCAATTACAGGAACAGTTAAATACTAAAACTGCTGTAAATAGAAAGTAATTGTAGCAAAACACAACAATAAACGTAGGGACGCAAAAAATAGAAACAATTAGAGGTAGAGCAAAGATTCCCGTAGATAGCCAGTAAGGATACAGTAGTTAGGTTAAGAAAGAAGAAAAAATCAGTTGACTGACAAGAATAATATATAGCAAAAAATAGAGACAAATAATAATCGTAAAATAAAGATAATCTTAAAAATAAATTATTTAATATAGCTTAGTTGTGAACCTATAATTAGTATGAACTTAAGAAAAAAAATGAGCTCAATAATTAATTACAATAAATGATGTATAAATCAAATTACAATTAAATTTAAAAATTAAAAACAAAAACAAAAATAACAGGGTAAGATTATATTTATGAGCAAGATTTTACTAAGACACTGAGGTAAATGCTTACATAAATACAAAGTCTGCTATAATTAGAGAATAATTATAGCAAAACACAACAATAAATGCAAGTAAACAGAAGAATTGAAACAATTAGTAGTAGAATAAAGATCACTAGATAGCCATGAAGGATACACAAGTTTGGTGGAGAGAACAAAAAATCAGTAGAGACTGTAAAGATGAATATATAAAAAATTTGACGAATGATAATTGTAAAGTAAAATAATCTTAGATAATTAATTTTATTTAGCTTAGTTTTTAATCTATAATTAGTATGAACTTAATTAAGAGAACATAATGAGATCAATAATTAATTTCAATAAATGACATAAATCAGAACAATTAAATTTAAAGTTTAAAAAAAGAATAGGGTAAGATTAAATTTAAGAGTAAAATTTTACAATGATACTGAGGTAGATGCTTGCATAAGTGCTTGGAGACTTGATTGATTACTTAGGAAATTATATGAATGAGAGAACATTAGGTAAATGGTAAGGCAGAGACAGCACCTTGGACAAAGTTAGATTAAGTTAGGTTAGACTCAGGCACTCAGAGTTATTTTAAGTTGGCATTGGTCGGGTTCAGGTTTTCAGATATACCACAATTACTAAAGAAGGCCAGTAGTTGTTGGTCACACTTTATTTCATATCTTTTTCCTGCACTTTCCTTGCATCAAAATCCTACATCAAAGTCCTGCATCAAAATCATTTATGTATATGGTCCCAGGACAAATCCCTGGGAAACTCAACTTGCAACAGTTTCTCACTTGCATTTGACTCCATTTATGCTAAGCCTGTTAACGTTGAAATAACCATATCCTTATCAAACTTGAAATGTCCCCTAATTCCATACACCTATATCTTTATAATCAGTCTTTCATCAGACACAATATCAAAAGCTTAACTAAAATCAAGGTATATAATGTCTCAATCTTTTCTGCTATCAGTTACAGAAATGCTGAAAAAGAATGAATTGTTTGTTTAACAAATGCACCTCTTAGTTAAGCAGTGTTGTCAGTTGTTTATCAATGTGTTTTGCAAGACGGTTATGAATGATTATAACAGTTATTGAGTCAAATAATTTTCCCACAATAGATGTTAAGCCCAATGGTTTGATGCAGGGGATCAAATCTCCCATCTTTAAAATCGGCATTACATTTGCAACTCTGCAAATGGCATTGATTAATGCCATTTGCATTAATGCTTAATTATTTCTCTTCGTCAGGAATTATACAAAGCTGTATCAGCAAGAAATCCTGTCACAGATATTCCTGCAATGGCTAATGTATCAGATATTCCCGACTGGTGAGTAAGCCAAACTTTTAATATTAAGCTGTTTCTTTTTCATTTGTAGGAAGTGTACAAAGTTGCAAGTGTTAGAAACCTCTCGTGTGACTTTGGTTCAGCCTTGAACTGTAAAGATAACCCTGATCTGTAAGTAAGGTATTTTGTTTTAAGTTCCTACCTAACATTCGTATCAGGGGCATTGTTTTTGCAGCCTGGTAATGCATATAATCAGTTCACTGTTCTTTATGTTACAGTTTCCTTAAAAAGATATCTACCATTATCATTATTTAGTTTGATCTTCAGTGTACACATTGTTGCCAAAGTTGATTATATTCTTGGCTAAGATTATGCCTCTTGTGCCCTAATTACTGTTCATCACCATTATTTTTCAACTCTGGTTTTGGATATAAATTTTTGTTATGTATAATTTAATATCTCTTGCTGTCAGCTATGATTTAAAAAATATTGTATTCACTTGAATATATTCAGTGAAGGATATCAAAGTTAATCCCAGAAATTAGAAACCTTGCACATGAAGAAAGATTATGATAGGTTCATTTACATTCTTTAGGAAGGGGTGACATGATTGGAGTATGCAAATGGATGAAAGGATATAATAAAGGGAATATTAAATAGGTGGTAAATATATAAACGCAAAACAATAGATACAAATTGGATAAATTTTTATTAAAGAAAGACCTGGGTAAATACTAGTTTGGAAACAAGGTTGTTGATTTATGGAACAGATTACCTGGTAACGTAATAGATGTACAAAAGTTTTGGTGGATACAAGTAAGAGCTGCGTAATATGGGGCAATAGGCCTTCTGCAGTTTCATTTATTCTTACGTCTAATGAACTGCCCCTTTCTGGTTAACTGGTCTTTTCAAACATGTCTTGTCTACTCCAATAAAGTAGAGTGTTTGTAAGGATCAGCTATCAATCATACAACAAAAATAAGAAAACAGTGATTTAGGATTCTTAAGGGTATTGTACCCAAAAGTGAGCTTAACTCCGTCACCCACATCGACTGTGTATTGAGGGACACAGCAGATGTAGTTTATCGACTGGCTAAAAAACAATCAATAATGATGCAACCAGCAGATCACAGGGTAAACAAGCATTTCCCATCCACCCCCCACCCCCTATTCCCCCAACCTCACAGAAAAATGTGAAAATATCACATCTGTCTGCCTCAGCCCCCCACTCAACAGTCACAATGAATCTCAAACATAACACACCAGACATACTAATCACGTGGATGTATGTTGCATAATAATTATTATCTATTCCAGTCAAAATAAACTATTGACAACCAACCCAGTCATTAAAGTAATACTCAGTACATGGGAGATTTAGGAGGAGTCCTCTAATAACTGGAGGAAACACAACCTCAGAGATAACTTTGGCGGTCATTGGTTTTTGCAGTCAATACAAGAGAAGAAAACCATGAAATTGTCAAAGTATGGGACCCCTTAAATAAAGGCAAGACTGCAGACAAGGAGTCACAATAAAGTGGCTGAAATATGTTGACCAGACCACACACTAGAAAATGAAGGGATGACGACATTTCGGTCCATCCTGGACCATTCTCAAGTCAATTGTGTAAATCGATAGACCATTCACAATCGACTTGTGAATGGTCCAGGACAGACCGAAATGTCATTGTCCCTTCACTTTCTAGTGTGTGATCTAGTCAACAAATGCATGACTGCCTCAAGGATAGCCAGGTTGACTTAAATCCCCATGTCTAACCAACACCACAATATCTCTAGAGCATTATGTAAAAAATGAAGGTATCCTCCTTCCATAGTCTTGCAATTTGGGTAGTGGCACTTCAATAGTTTTGGAGAGTTAACTGGTATTAGAGTATGTGTTTCTGGGTGTCATAGTGTTGATCTCTGATTGTCATTAGCCCAGTTCTTGGAGAAAAGACAAAATTGAAAAGATTATTAGTCCCATGGGTTAAAAGGATATCTAGTCCTTGAAGGATCTCAGTGTCCTTGGGGGTGGACAATGCCATAAGCAAAGGAAGCTACCTCTGAAATACGGGGAATGAGTTCTGTCACTCATCATAACATTGCTTTTAAGGGTAATTATGAAAACCTTCTTATCCACAGTGATTTAACTCACATTAAAGCAAACTTAAATCACTAAAGCACTATAAATGAAAACAAGAATTTACTACATTTAAAAATTGGATTAAATATTAATTTTACATTACTATATAATATTTAGTACACACAGAAATCACAATAGTGTGATGCATCTAACAAACAAATCCACAAGGGCCGTGACGAGGGTTCGAACCCTGGCACGGCCTTTGTGGATTTGTTCATTTAATATTTAGTAGTTTTCAAATCAGATTTCTATCCTGTATTTTATATTTATTGCAGGACATTTGTTGAAAGTGGCTATGCATACAAGCCAGGGCAAGTGCCAGACGGAGAAACACTTGGGAAAATGTTAGCAATATCACCCATCAGCCGCATTGACTCAATAAAGGCTCCCGTTCTGCTCCTGGTAGGCAAGAATGATGCGCGTGTGCCTCCTTCTCAGAGTCTAAACTTCTACAAGATGTTGCTAGCTCGTGGTGTTGAAACAGAGTAAGTTGATTTGATGTAATTATTTTCTTTGCAATGGTCTTCATACACCTATTGAATTACATATAGGTGGCTGGTGGTGGTTACATGGACCTGGCAATAATCAAGTTAGTCCACTACTATTTCTTGGATGCAGTATCAGGTCGCAGCTTCCACTTGACTAGCAGACAACCCTTTGTTCTTTTTGGTATGTAACAACAGTAAAAATTAAAAGCTTGGCATCATTTCTGAGCTGCACATGCAATCCCACACCTGGATAGCATATGTAGTCTCGTGTATGTGCAATGTGACCCACTGTGGTAAGAAATAAAATGCATTTCAAAGCTAATGTTTTCTGGGGGGAGCCCCTTCGGCTCCCCGGAACTATCCAGGCTGAATGGATATGTATAACTTTCTGGCATCAGTCAATGCATGGAGTTCTTGCCTACCGGGAACCACGAGCCAGAACCTGGCCCCCTCTAGAGAGGCATGAGGAGCAATGGCCTATAGAGACTCCCCGTATGATTGGGAGCATTCTATGTCTGCCATCAACAGGGATAGTCACCCAGAAAGGTAGGCGCCCCAAAACAAACTCCTATTCTGGTAAACTATTGCGACCGAAGACCGAACAGGTGGACAGAACTCCCCAAGCGAAAATTAGATAACTGTCATGACGTCATCATGCCGCCGCGCCGCCATCTGCGCAACCCCCCCACCTTCCCCAGGAGGGAAAAGGGGGGGAGCCCCAGACCCCACCGTCGGTGACCCAACCATTAGTTCTCAGGCTGATGGGTTCTGGTGCGGTCGTGCCTCTGGCTCCTGTTTGCAGTTGCAGTTCTGTGCCTTGTGGTGTGAGCTGTCCCTTCTGGTGGTGTGTGGGCCAGGAGTATTATTCCACGGTGCTCGGGCTGCATGCGCCTAGGGTTATCTTCCCTAGGTGCCCTGTAAGTACTGCCCTTGGGGCTTAGGGCCACCTTCCCTGGGTCGCCTTGGGGTCTAAATCCGCTGTGTCGTGTACTGCTCGGTACTTGGCTGCCCTTGGGGTCAGCTGGGGGTTTTTCTTGCCCTTGTTTGTCTCTGGGTAGGGGGTAGTTTTCGTCACTGGTAGGGACGCGGGGTACTGCACAGCTAGTTTTCACCATTAACAGCGACCGGCTCTGTTCCGCCTGGGTACGTTGTCCTCTTGCGGGGTTTTTCTTTTGTTTTTGTTTTCGCCTGGTGGGGGGGGGAAAGTCTGCCTGTTTGGTCCCCCATCACTGTTCTTGGGGTTGTCTCATTCTTGTTGTGTTGGTGGTCCTCCCCGCTTGGCCCCCCGTGAGTGTACACGTCCCGGGGGTTCAGCTATAGCAGTTTGTTTGGTAGTTTTGGGCGCCGGTTCGCAGTACCCTGCCTGGGCTTCCCTTAGCGAGTTACCACGGCTAAGGGCCCTGGAAAACCCCACGGGGGCTACGTGATCCGATGGATGTGACCCCTGAGTTCCCCCTTGCGTCCTGCGAGTTTGAAGGTTGCTCTGTCCCCTTGTCTCAGGGGGACACTCACCGGTTTTGCCTCCGCCATGCTGCCTGTTGGGTCGGTGATTGTTTTGACCCGGAGTCGTGCGACGTGTGTTGTCTGTACGTTCTCCAGTTTACCCAGGCTACTGTGTCTGATATGCAGGTGAGGGCAGCTGAGGCATTGCATGCTCACTTTAGGTTGCTGCAACGCGCTAGGTTGGTTGCTGCAATGCGCTAGGTTGGTTGCTGCAACGCGCTAGGTTGGTTGCTGCAACGCGCTAGGTTGGTTGCTGCAACGCGCTAGGTTGGTTGCTGCAATGCACTAGGTTGGTTGCTGCAACGCGCTAGGTTGGTTGCTGCAACGCGCTAGGTTGGTTGCTGGCCTGGATGCCCCGAGACTGCCCCGTTTTGGTGCATAGGGACCCGGACTTGGGGGTGGGAGTCGCTTCGGCTCTGGTTCCGTCCACCCCTCCGAGTCCTTCCCCTTCTGTTGCCCGTTCAGTCCCCACCCCCCTCCCCTTGCTTCCGGCTCCTAAACGTCTGAGGGTTTCGGAGCCGGGGCTGGGTTTAGTTGGTTGTGAGACTCGGGCAGTCTTGGGGGGTGTCCCCTTCTGGGGCGGTGGCGGAGGCATTCGAGCCTGGTCCTTTTGCCGAAGCTTCTGGGTTAGGCCAGTGGGCCCCTCCCCTTGTTCCTGCTTTTTCGGCTGCTCCCAACTTTTCTTTGGGGGTGGGGGCTCAGGAGGAAGGCTCCGCCCCGGGCCCTCTGGGCGAGGTTCCTGGGGATGGGGAGGGGTTGGCATTGGACCTCGCCTGGGTTTTTCTACCCTCTGAGCAGGGCTTGGTGTTACAAGGAGAGGGCTTGTCTTTCGCTCCCTCCGCGTACGAATTGGATTTGGTGTCCACCCCTCCCCGGGTTCGGTTCCGTGATCCCGAGGGTTCTTCGGTTCCGTCTTTCCAGAGGTTTCCGGCTTCCCGTGTTTCGTCTTCGGAGGTGCGGGAGTCCTTGGCGGCTTGCCTCTTGTGTGACCCGGATTATGCCTTCATGATGGATCCGCGTTCCTCCGTGTACGGATCCCCTGGTTCGTGCTGGTTTCGTTATGAAGTTCCGGAGTCATCCTGGTTGGCAGACTGTCCTCTCTTTTCGTTGGAGGTTTGGCACATGTTGTCAGTCCCACGCGCTTGAGTGGCGAGAGGTTTCTTCGGCGTTGCAAGTTTTCCTGGGGGGTGCTTTCGAGCATCTAAATGCTTGATTGTTCGCCCCTGCCCTTCCACGGGATGTTGGTGTTGTGCAGCTTCACATGCAGGTTCCTTCCCTCTTGACTGCCTTGATTACGGAGGATTTGCGGACTCATAGCCTGCTTGCTTCGGCTCTGCGTTCCTTATCCCTCCTTGAGCTCTCTTTGGATTGGCTCGAGTTTGATGTGGGAGCGCTTGCGGCCTCTGCCGGGTCCGGTGCGCTGCCCTCTGCTGTGCGGGCATCGTCTGCTTTGTTGTAGCTCTTAGCACCCGTATCCTGCGTGATGCGGTTTCGCGGTTCTATGCTTCTTGCCTCGCGTGCCATCAGGCGGTGCTGGCTTCCTCCTTGGAGTCCGCCTGGGCCCTGGCTCTTCGTTTGTCCTCGCCCTTTTGTCCATTGCTGTTTCCGGTCCCGAAACGGGACTGTGTGGACCTCCGGTTCATTCTGGACTTGTCCCGTCTGAACCCGTGGGTTTTGTGCCCCTCCTTTCGGATGACTACGCTGTCCCAGGTCCGTCTTCTTTTGAAGAGGGGCGCTTGGATGGTGTCCCTGGATCTCAAGGATGCGTATTGGCACGTCCCTGTTCATCCGGGGTTCAGGGACTGGCTCGGTTTTGTTGTGGGGCATCAAGGTTAGCGCTTTCGTTGTCTTCCCTTCAGGTTGAATCTGGTGCCACGCGTTTTCACACGCCTCACTCGGGTCGTGGTGGCCTGCCTGCATCTGCTAGGTGTTTGGGTGCTGGCCTATCTTGACGACTGGCTGGTTTGGTCTCCCAGCCAGTCCACGTGTCTGCTCGCCAGGGATTTGGTTCTTTCCCAGCTCGCCAGGTACGGGTTCTTGGTGAACTGGAGGAAGACCCATCTGGTTCCCTCTCAGGTTCGGTCTTGGCTGGGTCTGGTTTGGGACGCTCGCCCTGCTTCCTTGTCTCTTCCTCCGGCTTCTCTCTTGCGCCTGCGGTCCCGCTTTCGCCCGTTTCCGAGGGGTTCCCGGGTCACGAGGCGGTTGCTCGAGGGTTTGTGCGGGAGCCTGAACTTTGCCATAATGGTCTACCCGCCGGGTCGGGTATGGCTTCGTCGGCTGTTCTGGTTCCTTCGGGGCCGGCCCTTCCGCCTCTCTTGCAATCGTTGGGTTCGACCTCCGGGGCTATGCATCGGTTGCTGCGTTACCGGCTTCCTCTTCGGGTTTTTCGGGGTTCGGTGCCTTGGCGCCTTCCCGAGCCCTCGCTCGATGTGTACACGGACACGTCGTCTCTTGGCTGGGGTTTTGTGACCAGTGCTCACCAGGCCGGCCAGGGGCGGTGGGATCCGTCCTTTCGTCGGGCTTACAGCACAGTGCGGGAGTTCGCGGTGGTGTGGATGTCGCTCCGGAGGATTCGAGTCACTCGCGGATCGACGATCAGGCTCCATTCGGACTGCTCCCCGGTGGTTCATTGTTTGAACCGCGGGGGTTCGATGCGGTCCTTGGCTCTTTGGGGCTGGTCGCTTCGGGTGACCTGTCTGCTGAGTTCTCGGGGTTTGGCTCTCCTGGCAGTTCATGTCCGGGGGGGTGTCCAACGTCCTGACAGATGGCCTGTCCAGGTTCCGTCCCCTTTCCACGGAATGGACGGTCGATGCCGTCTCCTTCAGTTATCTGTGCAGGATGTTCAGGACTCCAGACGTGGATCTCTTCGTGTCGGCGTGGTCAAGGTGTCTCCCAGTTTACGTGGGAGACGCGAGGTGGGGTTACCTGTACCTCTTTTCCCCGGTTCCGCTGTTGCTCCAGGTCCTGACTCGCTTGGAGACTTACCGAGGTCGAGTTGTCCTGGCTCCTTGGTGGCCGGCCCAGCCTTGGTTTCAGGCGCTGCTTGCTCGGTGTCCGAACCCAAGGGTCTTCCCGCGGCTCCGCCTCTTTCAGCAGATCGGTCCATCTCCCACCTGCGCGCTTCGTCTCAGCGACAGTATGAGGTTTCCTGGCGGTCCTTCCGGTTTTTCCTATCACTGTGTCGGTGTTCTTCGGTCTCTGATAGGGTTGTGCTGTCCTTTCTCTCTTGGTTGTTTCTGGACCGTCATCTTATGCCGAATACTGTCGCTTCGTATCGTGCGGCGTTGGCGGAGCCGCTTCAGCTTGCTTTCGGTGTTGATGTTACTTCCGCCCCGTTTCGCAAGTTGTCTCGTGCGTTGTTTCACCTCTGGCCTGCTCATGCGCTGCCTGAGCAGGCCGGAGGTTTGTTGTGGCCCCTTCCGTTCGAGATTGCTTGTCTAAGGCTCTTTTCCTGTTGGCATTGGCCTCAGGGGGTCGGGTTGGCGAGCTTCATGCTCTCCTCCGGCGCCGAAGTTTCTGCTCTTTTGGCCCTGGTGGTCGTTATGTTCGTTTGCAGCCATCTCCCTCTTTTCTGGCGAAGAATGAGATGGCTGCATTCTGGAGGGGGCCGTGGGTTGTTGATGCCTGGTTGGTCAGGCCGGGGGTGCACCATGTGTTGTGTCCGGTTGCGGCTCTCCGCCGTTATTTGCGCGCCACGGCTTCCGTTGCCGGGGATGCGCTCTGGGTTGATCCGGTTTCCCTTCTTCCCTGTTCCCGGGCTTGGGTTTCTCAGTTTGTCAGCAGGGTTATTAAGTGTAGCCAGCCTGGGGTTTTTCCCCAGGCCCACGACGTTTGTAAATTTGCTGCTTTGGCGGCTGTCTTTGGCAACATGTCTCAGGTGGACATTCGGGCCTGGGGTTTTTGGAGATCGAACAGAGTTCTGGCCACTCGCTACCTGGTGAATGTTCCTGGGCCTCGTCGGGCCTGCGTTGCTTTGGGTCGGCGGTTGCAGCCAGTTTTCTCAATTTCGCGTTGAGGAGTGAGGACGGCCCGCTGCTCGGGTAAGTCCCTGGTTTTTCCTTATCTTTGGGTAGTTAGCTCTGGGGAGCCGAAGGGGCTCTCCCCAGAAAACCAGCGTTGAATGTAATGAAACGCCATTTTCTGGGTGAGTCCCGGAGGCTCCCCAACATCCCTCCCTCCCTCCGGTCAGCGGTGTTTTTCGCATTTTTGACATCCAGCCTAAGAACTAATGGTTGGGTCAGCGACTGTGGGGTCTGGGGCTCACCCCTTTCCCCTCCCAGGGAAGAGGGGGGGGGTTGCACAGACAGCGTCTTGTATGTAATGATCATGAATGGATGGTGGCAGCATTTCGTCTTCTACTATCTACTCTTCTACTTCTACTATCTACTCTTCTACTTCTACCTATCTATACCTCTCCCTCCACCCCTCTCTGAACTCTCACTTTCAACTAATGACCCTCCTCGCTCCTCCCACCTCCCTACCTCTCACCCCCAAGCCCTCACTAATTATTTCACTATTCATTTCTTTCCTTTCGCTTTCTCTTATACGTTTGTGGCAATGATTCTGTATTCTAGAGTTCTCTCTAGAGTTTCGGGTAACTGATCAAGTGACGGCGCCTTGTAGTCTTGGAACCTAGGTAGTCAAATACCTAGGTTACAAGGTGTTGAACGAGAGAGGTTGCCTTAGGAACTCTGGAGGGTGCTCTAGAATAGTTAGCTAACTGGGGACGGGATAACGGACTAGAGAGAGCTGTTTCCCCCGGCCTCGTTAGTTAACTGGGGGGGGTGGAATAATGGACAAGATAGAGCTATTTCCCCCACCCCCCGTTACAATGGTGGCAGCGGTGGGATGAACAATGTTGTAGGTAGTTGGTGTTCTTTTAACATTGTTCAGTCCCACGTGTCTTTTTGCCGCTCAGGCGCTATCAGGGAGATCTTGACATGTGTTTATTATTCGCGATTTAGCGAGCTTTGTTCAGGTTAGGAGATAGTGATTCTCTGCCGTTGTGGTTTAGTGAGTTTGTGAGTTTTGTGAAGTTCAGGGAATGTTCACCAGAACTTGCGTGTGTAGTGATTTATGTTAGTAATAAGATTTGGTGATTTGGGATCTGTCCGTGGTTCTCTGAAGGTTTGGTTCTCTGAAGGAGGCGTGCTGGAGCAACAGGGAGGAAGAAGAGTAGGATGGGATTTCTACTGTTGGCAACTATATGAAGGTCTCGAAACTTGTAGTCCCTATAGCTGTGAAGAACCCCAATATACGTCTCTCATGGTGACTGACGTAGGGCCAATTACAGATCAGCTGGGACAACCGAATTCCACGGTCCTGTGCACAGTTCAAGTAGTAACGGCTTTCGGGTTGACCAAGTGTTGTTGTGCGTTAACGACGGAGAAGCGACGGAGGCAGTTGTGTTGAAGAAATGTGGTACAGGATTATCTACAAGACCAAGCAGTGACGTCGCCCAGCCAGAGACAATGGACGTCTGTCTACATATTTCATTTTTTAGAGTAGGATGATGTATATTTGTTTAGCTAGGATGTATTCTTTTCGTTAATAAAGTTGTCGCACACAGCTAGCTTGCTTTAGCAGTGTTGCAAAAACTTTATTTTCGGGGAGAAGGGGAGATGTAACACTGTAAAAGTGTTTGGGTTAGTTTATTTAAAATATATATAGAATATGAGTCACAGACAGGGATTTGGAAAGGCGCCAAGTTGTCGGCGGAGATCTCACACCTCTAACCGTTAATGACCTCAAGTGACCTGAGGTCAGATCATGAGAATTTCACCTTGCTTCCGCTAAGCTCTTAATTGTAGCCGGGTAGCCTTCAAACATGCCGACGTTTAAGGAGTGGCTTGGTAGTGCCGGAGGCTATCTACTTGTGGGCGGAGTTAGCTACTAGGTTCCCCAATAAATACTCGGAGAACTATCGAGCATAAAGGATTAACAGACAGAACAGCAGACGAGAGCAGAGACGTCCCTATCAGGGAGGCTGTCGGCCGGCAAGGGCGGGAGTCTCTGTCAACTACAGACCCCCCCCCCCCCCTCTCTATTCAACTTAGACTCAGTCCTCGGTGAGTGAACATTAAGGTGACTTGGACGTGTTTACATATGTTGTGTGATGATCAGGGGCAGTCAAGTTGTAGGGTTCTCAGATTCTTGGAGGATGACTCACTTTAAATATTAAACTGGAACATTTTAATTGAATTGCTAAATTATGATACTTCATGGGAAATATAATTATGAATTTATTATTTAAATTGTGTTTAACTTTGTTCCCTAGAGATTTTGAGTTGAGGTGAGAAAGCCTCTGTGGCGCGGCGACATGATTACGTCATGATGGTTATCTAATTTTCGTTTGGGGAGTTCTGTCCACCTGTTCGGTCTTTGGTCACAATAGTTTACCAGAATAGGGGTTTGTTTTGGGGTGCCTACCTTTCTGGGTGCCTGTCCCGGTCGATGGCAGACATAGAATGCTCCCAATCATAAGGGGGGTCTCTATAGGCCATTGCTCCTCGTGCCTCTCTAGAGGGGGCCAGGTTCTGGCTCGTGGTCCCCGGTAGGCAAGAACTCCATGCATTGACTGATGCCAGAAAGTTATACATATCCATTCAGCCTAGATAGCTCTGGGGAGCCTCCGGGACTCACTCAGAAAATGGCATTTCATTACATTCAACGCTGGTTTTATAGAAACAGTATATGATATGTTTGTCTTCACTAATCATTGTGGGGGATACAGAGTTATATGAAAATGTTTGTTGATGATGATAAAGTTCCAGGGAATATAAGAGACTTAATATGACTGTCATAACCTGGATAAAATACTGTAAGTGAATGGCATAATACATGGCAGATGGAATTGAGTGAGGATAAATGCCAAGATATGGAATAGGAAGAATTATGCCACACACAATTTACAGTTTACGTGAAATAAACATTAAAGAATTGGTAGAGTTAGGGGTGGTTGTGGACACTCAAGTGTCACCAGAGGACTACATAAAGCTCATTGTACTCATAACTCATAAAGACTTATAAAGCTTTAAGCTTTGGGGCTTAGCGTCCCCGTGGCCCAGTCATTGCCCGGACCTCCTGCTACACTTTTCAACTTCAGAATCATTTTGAAATACTAAAAATGTTAATGACTTATGTGAGACGTTTTCAAATGGACTCTATGAATGCACCAGTTGTATGTACCCATATCTCAAGAAGGACATTAATAAACTAGAAAGGGTACAAAGAAACAGTATTAAACTTCTGAAACTGTAGAAATGCCTCTGAGGAGAGGTAAAATTGGATATCATGAGGTATAGGGGACATTCACTGAGAAATATGTATACAGTACAGTATTTGGAAAGACTGAAGAGAGGTTTGTTGAGATTGACAAAATGTACAGTTCAAAACTACATTCAGTTTCATAAACTCTGACCTGAATAAATTCTTCCCCAAGGCTGGGTCAGGTGATGTGCAACCTGTTGCAAATCATCATTCCTCAATTGCAAAAGATTTGATTGATTAGTGACAAAAAACATTGATATAAAATGGTTCATGTGCTGATCCATCAAGAATCTACATTTTTGCACTCTGATTATGTTTTCTGGTTGTCTCTTCCTTGTAGGATAAGATGCCAACCTTGAGAGTGCCATTCTTTGCAAATGTTGTGATGCATCATATTCTTTCAGTATTACAAATGACTTAAAAATGTCCGAATCTTTTCAAAGGGGGCTTAGACAGAATTGAAGCCAAGGGCGTGTAGTTATCTTAATCTACCCCTGGGAATAAAAATCAGACAATAATATTTAAAATCAATATACAGTATGATGATAACCGTACTACCCAGAGAATATGTGTATGACAATAACTGCACTTTAATACAGCAATAGTAGATTGATAAGATAATACAGTAATAAGGTATACAGTAATTAGAATAACAGATTGTTGGGTGGTTTAATGATTTCCATGTTATAATGTGCATTGTAAGTCACTGTTAAAATGTGTAGAGTGGTGAATGAAAGCAGGCTTAGTAATGGAGAGCAGAGAAAAAAATATATGATTGAATATTGTATGGGTATATGTAGGATTATATTTTGTGTTCATTGAAAGTCACTTTGATTATGAAAACAATTTAATGCAATCACAGTTTGTTATTAATATTTTAGTATAGAATAATACTTCATTACCCACAGACTCCACCTGTATGATGACTGTCACCCTCTAAGCAAAGTGGACACGGAAGTGGACTCCCTCATCCACACCGCCCTCTGGTTCCACAAACATGAATGTACAGCTTCGTAAATAATGAGCTGTACATATTAGCAGGTGTGAAATCCGAGTATTTTAATTTTAGATTTTGTACATAGTTCAGGGCCTATGGTTCAGATGCCACTAGACAAAAGTAACATTGTTAATGTTATATTCATTTGCATTGGTAGTGAATATCACAAAAATGTTGTTTTGGCATTACACTGCATGAACAAATCCGCAAGGGCCGTGACGAGGGTTCGAACCTACGTCCGAGAGGATCTTGTGGATTTGTTCATTTGATGCATCACGCTATTGTGATTTCTGTGTGTACACTGCAAGGTTTTGTTTTGAGAGATGGTTGTAAATTAGGTGGCAAAACCTGTTGCCCTAGGTGAACAATTGGCAACCCCCACTTCATACCCCCGGCTTACATTTTTGATAAAATGGAAACATTTGCCCCTTTTTTGTCCTCTAATGTTTTTTTAAGCATATTTGTGTTGGAGGGACAAATGGACCCATCAGTAGCTGCCAAAGTTCATCTCTAGTCAACCTGTTCTCCTACAAATTACGTCTGAATTTGCCCGTATGGCCAAAATTTGAAGATGAAAAATAAAATTGGGATGTTATTTTTTTCCAAAACAATAAGTTGAAGGTCATGTGGTAGGTTAGGAGGGCAAGAGGTTCTCGTAAGGTTTCAAAAGTCATGAAAACCGTTAATTGAAAGTTCGTCTCGTAACCTTACCGAGAAAGCTGGAGGACTCGAATAGAAAACGGGACAGTACATCACTTATGTGAGCTGATTTCATTTCAAATTACGTGCATTTTTGGCCATAGCACACATACGAGCGAAAAGTGACATTATTTTAAGGGGATGAGGTTGCTCTAGTACCAACAAGTGTTGGTGCAACACACCAGGCCTCAAAGACTGGTATAGCCTGCCAGGGACCACAATCTGGCTTACTCTGAGGCAGAAGAAATTAGGTACAAGGTAAACAATTGTTGCTGCATGATAATTACTCCAAGTGCTGGATTTGCAGCCAGCCTGCTCCCTCAGTTTTTCTACCTGGTGTTGCCTGTCTTAACATCTGTTCTCTCTGCTGGGCCCTTCATTGGTGTTACTAGAACATTACATTGTGTCCAGGGCGATGGGCATTGCTTTGTTTCTATTTATGATGACCATATGCTGTTTAGAATTCCATTTTACTTGAACCATGGCCCGGGGTTTCCTTTGCATTTCCCTATATATGTGAGATACCTGTTCTTAGGGGTTGTGGGTTAGGTCTTGGAGGAGGTGGCTCCTCTTTAGTCACATCACTTTTGGGCAGTGCACGAGTCTGTTAATTTTTCTGGGGGAGCACCTACAGCTCCCCGGAGCTTACTAGGCTGATATGCTAATGTCAGACTTTGGCATCAGTCATGTGTACGGAGTTCTTATGGGCCTACCAGGGACCACGAGCCAGAACCTGACCCCCTCAGAAGAGGCATGGGGAGCAATGGCCTATAGAAACCCCCCGCGTGGTTGGAAGCATTCTATGTCTGCCATCGACCAGGTTAGGCACCCAGAAAGGTAAGCATCCCAAAACAAACCCCTATTCTGGTGAAAATTGCAACCAAAAACCGAACGAGTGGATAGAACTCCCAAAACAAAACCCTAGTTCTTCGGCTGATGCTATTGGCACTAGTTGTGTGCTCCGGCTCCAGTGGTTGTTTCAGCACTGTACCTAGAGTGTGGTGTCTGTCTTCTAGGTGGTGCGTGAGCCGGGAGTGAGTCTCCAGTACTCTGGCTGCATGCGCCTAGGGTTACCTTCCCTAGGTGCCCTGTAAGTACTGCCCTTGGGGCTTGGGGTTACCTTCCACAAGTTCCTTGGGTCCTGCTTCTGCTAGGCCGTTTGCTGCTCGGTTTTCGGCCTCCCTTTGCGTGATGGGGGTTCTGTCTCCTTTGTTCGCCTTATGGTAAGGGACAGTTTGCACTGGCAGGGCGCAGGGTGCTGCGCAGCTTGTTTTCACCAGTCATAGCGGCCAGCTCTGTTCCGCCTCGGTACGCTGTACTCTTGCAGGGTTTTCTTTTTCTTTTTGTTTGTCTACCTGGTGGGGGTTCTGCCTTTGGGTTTTCCCCCTTTGTGCCGAGTTCTCTTCCTTCTTCCGGTGGTTCTCCCTGCTTGGTCCCCGTGAGTGTACATGTCCCGGGGATTCAGCTCTTAGTGTTGTTTGGTAGCCATGGGTGCCGGTTAGCAGTACCCTGCCTGGGATTACCTGAGCGCGAGTCCTCTTATAGTAAATGCTCAGGACCCTGGGAAACCCCTAGGGGGAGCATGGGGCCCGATGGATGTGGCCCCCAGAGTGCCTCCCCTCGCTTTGTGCGAGTTCGAGGGTTGCTGTCCCCTTGTCTCAGGGTGATTCTCACTGTTTTGCCTCCATCTGCAGCCTGTGGGGTTGGTGACACCTTCGGCCCGGGGTCCTGCAAGTTTTGTTGCTTGTTTGTGACTCGGTTACCTAGACTTATGCTGACTATGTGGTGCAGGCTACACGGGCGTTGCACATTGGGTTTCGGTGGCAACGCGCTAGTTGTTTGCTCCCCGGAAGCCCCGAGGCTGCCCCGTTTTGGTTGGTTGTCTTGTCGGCCCCCCCCCCCCTCCCATCCTTCCTACATCCGGGTCTTTACCGTCTGTGGGTTCGGGGTCGGGGCGGGGGCTTCCATGGTTTTGAGACTCGGTTGGTCTCAGGGACTTCCCCTTCCGGGATAGCGACGGGGGCATTCGAGCCAGTTTCCTCCAGCCGTGTTGTAAGAGTCTGCATGTGGGCTCCCTTCCTTAGTGCTTTTCACGGCTGCCCAATTTTTTCTTGAGGCTGGGGCTTTGGGAGGACGGCTCGGCCCCGGGGCCTGCCGGGTGGGTTCCTGGGGCTGGGGTGGGGCTGACGTGGGGGGACTCAGGCTCCGTTGGACCTCGCCGGGGTTTTTCTACCCCCTCTGAGCGGGGCTTGCAGTTTTGTGGAGTGGGGGTTTTCCTTTCCCCCTCTCTGCACGTGTACTTGGGTGTCGGCCCCTCCCCAGGCTCGGTTCCTTGTCCATTATGCCCATTGCTTCCATCCTGTCAGTGGGTGCTTTTCTCCGTTCTTCGTCCCTTTTTTCGGGACGGGACTTCTCTGCCATGTCCCCCTCTTCTTGGGGTTCTGCATGACTTTTGGTCTCGGGTGCAACTGGGTTTTCTGTGCCTTCATCTTTTGTGTTTGCTTCTGTGTGTTCTTGAAGGTTCGGGTTGGTTTTGCTCCTTCCTGTTTTACTGGTACGTCTGTCATCATTCAGTGGGGCTTCCCTCAGGTCCTTTCTAGGGCTTGTGGGTCCTATTCCGGGCAGCTTCTGGGTTTTTGGCCTTTTCATTCTTTTGTTCATATCTCTTCTCTCCGTGCTGTGTCTCGGCACTGCTCGTTTTCCTTCCGTTCTGGTCCGGGATGCCGGATTGGGCTATTTGTAGCCTGTTGGGCTCTTTGTCGCCATGTTGGGCTACTGGTGGCCCACTTGGGTTCCGATTCGGTTCGTTGTTTTCCTTACATGAGCCGGCTAGGTTGGTTGTTGCTTCCTTCTTTTTGGCTTTTGTTTCCATGAGTTGGCCTGTTTCTTTAACGGATCGCTCGGGATGCGACCCGTTGGGCTACTTTTCTGCTCTGTTGTTGGACAGAGTAGGATGGACCTGTGTAGCCCAACCTATTGGGCTACTTTTCTTTTGTGTCCTGTGCATGCGCTGTGGGAGTTTGTTTTGGTTCAGGGCGGTGTGCTAACCTCGTTGTCCTCGCCTAGTTGAGCTGGCTGAGGATGAGCTTTGGCTCATCTCGCCCCTCGCCTATTATTCGCTTCTGTTCTACTTCCGGAGCCTACTGGGCTCTTATCTGCACTGGACGCTGGGTATGGGGTTGGCCTCCGCCACTTCCCTTCCTCATGCATCCTCTCGTCTTCCTGCTTCACTCTTGTCCTGGCCGCTGGTGCTGGGGCTTTTCTGCTGGTCTTTTTATCATTTTCTCCTTCACACTGTTGTGTGTTTTGTTTGTGCCTTTTGGCCTTCCTGTTGCCGGGTTTGGGTTCCTGTTTTCCTGGCTTGCCCTGCCTGTTGGTTTTTTCAGGGTCTTGCGATGACCCTTCTCTGGTGTCTCACGTCGGACCCGTGGTTTCTGATCCCCTGGCGTGTTTGCTTGCGTTGGGGAGTTTTCTGTTCGGCAGACGTTCCATCTTCTTTTTGCCGGCTTGGGCTTCCGGCTCTGCTTCCTTGGTGGTCGCACCCGAGATCTTCCTGCGGCTCCGCCTCTTCCTAGGCTCGGGTGACCCTTGGCAGGGCTGATTACGTTCTGCCTCGGGTATCTCGAGTCCTTTGGTGGTCTGGTGGCTTCATTGTTGGTGTCCCACCTGTATGCTTCTTGGCGGCAGTATGGGGTTTTTGGCGGTCCTTCCTTTTCCTTCTGTCCCTTCTTCGGTGGCTGCGTTTGTTGGTGTCGGCTTGGCTTTTCTGCTGGGGGTTGGGAGCCGTCGACTTGCCGCATTCTGTCGCCTCGTTTAATGCGGTGCTGGCGGAGCCGCTTCGGCTTGCTTTCGGACTTTCATCTGCGCCATTTGTAAGCTGTCTCGTGCTTGTTTCACCTCCGGCCTGTTCTTGCGCCTCTTGAGCCGTCCTGGTCATTGGACAGAGTGCTCTCTTTTTTTTTCTTCTCCTCATTTTCTTGGGGCCCCTTTGGTTCCAGTTTGTTTTTCAATGGCTCTTTTTCCAGTTGGCATTGGCCTCTGGGGGTCGGGTAGGTGAGCTTCATGCTCTCCTACTGTGCAGGGGTTTTCTGCTCCTTCGGTTGGGGTGATCGGTTTGGTCATCTGCTGCCTTCTCCTTCTTTTCTGGCGAAGAATGAGACTGCTGCTTTCCGGAGGGGTCCCTGGGTTGTTGATGCTTGGTTAGTTGGGCATTTTGTTTTTGTCCTGTTGCGGTTCTCCGCCGTTATTGGCACACCACGGCTTCTGGGTCCGTGGATGTGCTTTGGGTTGCTCCGGTTCCCTTCTTCCCTGTTCAAGGGTGCGGGGTCTCCCAGGTCGTCCGCGG